GACAAGGAGGAATCGGCGAGGCTGCGGTGCACATACTCTCCTCGTTTCAGGGCTACTTCACAAGTGACGTTTGAATGCTCGGTGCGCGCACATACAGCACGTGAAGAAAAGACGGAGCGAGCCAGCGAGCCGAGATACTTTAACATATGGGTGGAGAAGTTGAACTCGAGGAATAAGGAATAATTGTCTGTGGCCGGGAGAGTAAGAAATAATTAATTTTTTTTTTCCCTCCAATTTCTACGGATCCGGTGACATTTTTGCACCGGTCGCGATATATGTATAGATGAGAATGCCATTAGGATTGTGCAATGCCCCGTGGAGCTTCTCTCTGTTGGCTTATTAAGCTCGTGCACTCTCACGCCGGGGTTGATACTTTCTCATAGAATACATACGCGGATTCCGTATTATATTATACGTATATAGGTGCACGCACAATTGTGCGCGTAAGTCGGCACGTGTGCACCGTGCAGAGAGAGATGCTCTGCGTATGGTATAGCGCGCATCGAAGGACTGACCTCGCGGCTAGGATTTTCCAAGAAACGGCTTCTCTCCAGCTCTCGCAAGGCCCCGTTGAAAATCCTTCTTATTAAACGCATCCATTCTCGGCAATAAATAAAATCTCTACCCAATATCTAAGAGTTGCAGCAGCAGCAACTGGACACGCGTATAAAGCATATAGCACACGAATTGGCTGCTCTCGCGCGCGCGCGCGCGACTGGTATACACGTATATATAATAAGCGCACTTGATGCGCGCGCATTTTCTCGTAATTAAATCTCCCCTATGAAATATTTAAATGGAATCCTCGGCAGCGCGTGCGCTAGTAGCAGCAGCAGCAGCAGTGAGTTCACCTTCGCGCTGCTTGGCGCATTTTTTGAAAACACGCGCTGCTGATGCTGCACTGCTCGTCGTCGTCGTCGCGCGCGCGCGGGGATAATTTTTACATTCGTGCTTTGCATTCATGCGTCTGGTCTTCTCTCTCGTTCTCCGGCTCTGTGGTATTTATTGGAAATGCAGTATTTATTAGGTCCACGTCGTTTGTATATATCCCTCTCCCTCTCTCCACCTGTTTTTGATATGCTCATTGAATATTCCCTGCGCTGCGGCCGAGACTCGCACAGCTCCGCGCGTTTATTTACGGTCGATCGTTCGCTACGATTTATACATTATATATCCTTTTTCTCTCGCTGCTGCTGCTCCTGCCTCGTCGCTTCTACTGCTGCTGCTGCTGCTGCTGCTGCTGCTGCTGTTGCAGTAGCACAACAGCTACTCTGTCATCCTCTGTATATACGCATCTAATTTGAATTTTCTGCCTGCGCGCGTATCTTATAAGGCGCATTCGCGAGCACGAGGCGATTCAATGCCACGCGTATATAGCCGGTGCAATGGTATTTTCTTGACAAATACCGATCGTCGTCGAGTCGCACATACGTACATACATATACGTACATATATGCGTACAAGCGCTGTGCAGTACAGCGGCCAAATCGGCATCGACGCGCATTACCACGGCAGGACGATCGAGGGAAATGTTTCAATCAATCCTCGCGGCCATTTGTGCGACAAATAATACCCGCGGCTGCTGCTGCTGCTGCTGCTGCTGTTGGCACTGCGAGAGAGACAAAGATAATAATCATTACCATTAGGCAGGCTGCGCGCGTTAGGAAAAAGCTCGCGGAGGAATGCCGATAATGACGCTAGAGATCGCGCCCCGTCTCGCGTCCATTTAATTGATCCCATACACCGCCGGTATAAATGTGCTCGCTACCGTAGACGAGGGAACAGTGCAGCAGCAGCAAGTGTTGCGATTTACACCGTTCATAGCGCGAATTCCTAGCGAGCTCCGACGCTCTTCTTTCTCGTGTATCGGCCTAAAAACTGCACCGGCTCGAGCCTCGTCCGCTGAATGTGACACATCGTGCACTCGATTCTCGTTTCCGCGTTTGCTCGTTCGCGCTCGATCTTCAGCAGCAGCAGCAGCTCGAAGAAAGGAAAAGGAGCTGGTACTTATATCGATGTGTATATAGGTAAAAAGCATACATATCGGCGCTCCGTAAAACTCGGCGCATCGAGTAGGACCCTTCAAAGCGACTGCTGCACACATATACGCATATATGCCTGCATAATCAGATCCAAAGCCGCACTTATACATAAGCCGGTGTGTATGTGTGTATGTACATGCTATATCGTATCGCTTAAATACGCACTGAAAGGTGAGGCGATGCATCAGAAGATACGGGGGCGAGCTCAGCTCTCGTCGAGTCTCGAGCTCTGGCTGGCTGGCTCGCGAACGCGCGACTCGCCGCGCAGAAGCCCGCGAGGAGTCGATCCGCGTCGAAGATACTATATACGCTTTTTTGCTTGGAATCCCATGGGAACGAAAGCGAGAAAGAGAGAGAGAGAGAGAGAGAGAGAGAGAGAGAGAGAGAGAGAGAAAGGGTCTACATAAACCCCCTTCTCTGGCTTCGTTTTTCTTTCTTGTCGACGTAGCAGCAACAGCAGCAGTAACAGCAGCAGCAGAAGAAGAAGAAAGAAGACGAGTCGACTTCTTCTTGTTCTGTTTTTGCTTTTTCTTCTTCTCTCTCTCTCTCCCTCTCTCTCTTCGCGGGATTATTTTTTTCTCTCCTCTCTCAGTCCTTTTCTCTCTCTCTCTCTCTCTTTTATCATTTTTACTTTTCTCTGATGTTCGCGCGTGCGCATGTACTTATACGCTTTTGCGCTATTAATGCGGAATCACTGTACTGCTTGCTTCAAACTTGCCCTTGCAAGAGAAGGGAGTACAGTACACATAATACGCACGTCGCGGATTATCGCGCGCCTCTCTCAATTAAGAGACACTCAATAATATTTTTCCCGCTGCCGCCGACGCCGCCGCCGCTTGTAGTCACCGCGTCGTAACTGTATATAAGGCTTAGATGCGCGCGCGTGCGTGTGTCCACGCGAGCGCAGTCCACAACCGAGCGCGCACACAAATGCACTTTGGTAATGGATGGAGTATATTAAAGATTACAGCTGCCTTATCTGCTTGGCTCGCTTGCCGGTGGACCGAGCGATCGCGTCTTTTTTAAACGCGTCTAATGGCTCGCCTTCTCCATATCGAGATAGAGAAATTAAAACTCGCGTTGCATTAAAACTTATATATATGCCGAGCGATTTTCGTCCCGGTGGTCTGCCTACCTGCGTATTTTTTTTTTTTTTTTCCTCCTATATCATACGCATCCACGTCCATTATATAGAACACGCGATCTCGCTCGTTCAGCGAGTCAATAAATTTATAATGAAAAAACACAATTCGCACACGGCGTGCGCCGCTGACTCGCGTACAGCTGCGCGTTATCGCTGGCAAATCGATGGGCGCGCTTGGAATGACAGATATCCTTCGCCCGCAGAGTAACGCATTAAGTATTTCGATGTGTGCGCGCAGCGATAAAGCAGCAGCAGCAGCAGCAGCAGCAGCAACGCATAGTCTCGGAGCTCTGTATCCGCTGCTGCTGCTGCTGCTGCTGCTGCTGCACGCGTAATTGGAGTGGCATTCCACGTTATGAGTTAATTCCGAAGTCGATCGGCCGAAACTGATAGCCCTCCGGCGCGCACCTCTCGAACACATACGGAGTCGTGGAAAAATCAACCCGCGAGATAGTGCCGTGGCGCGGTAACATTTTTCCATTAAGCCGAACACAACGAGAGACCAGCTGCTGCGCTGCTTCGAGAACGACGAAAGGTGAGGCCGAGCGAAGGAAAAAAATCAGTGATCCTCGAGAGTGCATTGGGTTTGAACGCGTATATTTTGTGCTGACACAGGGACGACGTTGTTGTTGTTGCTTGTCGAGTAGACAGCGGCAGGCGACGAGCAATCCGAGCGTGATAGAGAAGCGGCGCGGAATTCGCATCATCGTGTATAAGTGGCCTCGTATATAGCCGCAGAGAGCGTAACGTTGATGACGAACACGACCAATTTCACACGTTCATCTCACACGAATAAGCACACGACACGTCGATTATAATGTATTAAAAGCTCCTAAGCATGCCAAAGCAAAGCACACCTCCACGGACGCACACACACACTCTGTATAGTAGTTCTTTTCTCTCTCTCTCACTCTCTGTCTGTCTTTGGCTGGCTGGCGCGCGCACTGCGCCTCTCTCTCTCTTTCTCTCTCACTGTGTGTCTCGCTCGTTCGCCAACTCTCGGGCTCCCATTATAATAGAGACATGTGAAAGGACCACTTGGGGATTCGCGCATGAGGACGCGACGCGCGCCAAGTGTGTAATCAGCCATTTGCTACCTCAGTGAGTGGGTCGCGCAGCAGCAGCGGCAGCACATATTGTTCGGCTTAATGATGGAGTGGATGCGTGACAGGTGAAACCCGATATAGAGTAACAACAACAAAAAAAAAAAGGGAAAATAAATAAAACAATTTTTGCGTGTGTGTCTGCGTCGAGATGCTGCTGTTGTGGGATCCGGAGAGTAAGCAGTGCTCCCAAGACCTTCGTTTGTTTTCTTCGTTTCTTCTTCTTTTTTTTTCTCTCTACTTCTTCGTGCGTATGTGTACGCACACCACGCTGCGCGCTGCTCGTCAACACCACCCACCGCTCGCAAAAACGCGCGCGCGCGAGCGTTTCTCTTTTACAATTTCGAGGGCGTGACACACGTACGTACGTTTTGAGCGCAGCGCAGCAGCAGAGAGATGCAGAGAGAAAGAAAGAAACAAATTACATTTTTCACTAGTTATGATTGAATTTCATCGACGAGCGCGAGTGCAAGAAAAAAAAAAGGAGAGAAGGGTTAAGCACGCTGATACACGAATGGAGCACGTACACACGGCTCGTCTCTCGTGAGATAAGCTCCGAAGCGAGAGGTTTTATATACGTACTCCGCTTCGGGCGAGGGGTTGACAACTAATTAAGCCTCGCCAATTTCTTCTTTTTGCTTTTTTTTTTTCATTTCTGCTTTTCTCTCGATTCAACGTCGCGAGTAACTTTGTGCCCTCTATCTGTCGCAGATACCAGAGAGACCGGCTTCGTCAATGCTATCACGGCGGCTGGCGTGACTTACGCCGTCACCCGAGCCTGCACCAAGGGCCACCTAGTCGAGTGCTCCTGCGAAAAAATGAATCCCAAGAGTGAGTTTTTCATTTATATATAATTATTATTATTACTTTTGCAGCGATCTACATTAAGCGCGTTTAACGGTTTACCCTCGCCGAGCAAATACTTTGAATACGATTTTCGATTTACAATCTGGAGTGAAAAGTAGCCTGAAATTTATGCAACGCAGAGAGAGATATGGGAGTGCCCGGCTCGCGATCGATGAACGATGAAACAATGAGCTGCGAATTTCCGCCGCGCTCGCAAACTCGCTATTTATCTATTAGCGCGCGATATAAATAATCGGCGACGATTTATAAGACGCGCGTAATCGGGCTCTCGAGCCGTTTGGATTATTTTATATACGCGCGTTTAACTGCGGGCTATTAATTTACGACGTCGAGTTGCTGCGAAATAATTGAGAATTCGTTGTTGAACGCCCCGACGCGATTGGAATGTTTATTATGCATATAGGTAGCCGTTACGGAAAACTCGGAAGACTCGCCAGCAAGAGCCGACACCTGCCGATGGACGGCGACTGGGAGTGGGGCGGCTGCGGCGACAACGTCAACTTCGGCTTCAAAAAGTCCCGGGAATTCATGGACGCGCCGTTCCGCAAGCGCAGTGACATCAAGACGCTCCTCAAGCGCCACAACAACGACGCCGGTCGTTTGGTAAGTCAATATGTCGCTATTCTTTAACAACGTTAAAATACATCGTGTGAAACGTTGATCGATCGTTGGTCCGCAGGCGGTGCGCAACTACATGCGAACCGAGTGCAAGTGTCACGGCCTGTCGGGCTCGTGCACGGTCAAGACCTGCTGGCGCAAGATGCCGGCCTTCCGCGAGGTGGGCAACCGCCTCAAAGAGTCGTTCGACGGCGCCGCCAAGGTCATACCGGGCAACGACGGGCGCAGCTTCATCACCGAGGGCCTGACCATCAAGCCGCCGGGCCGCTACGATCTCATCTACAGCGAGGACTCGCCGGACTTCTGCCGGGCCAATCGCAAGACGGGGGCGCTGGGCACCCAGGGCAGGGAGTGCAACGCCACGTCCCAGGGCGTGGACGGCTGCGAGCTGCTCTGCTGCGGCCGCGGCTACGACACGCGCGTCGTGCGCGAGCGCGTCAAGTGCCAGTGCAGCTTCAGGTGGTGCTGCGACGTCGTCTGCAACACCTGCGTCGCCCGAAAGACTGTCAACACTTGTCGTTGAGCCACATGTACATTCGCGAGTGACGACACGCGCGAATTCGAGAGAGACGGTGGAAACTTTTTTTAAGAAATCTCGAGATCGTGTCGCAGCATCGCTCGACGTAACGATCTCGACGAATCGAAACTCGAGCAGCTGCGCAATCGACGAGTGGATCGGTAGTGGTCCGTTTTCGCGAGAGAGAAAGGAAATATTTTTTTATCAATTTTTAAGCGAGCGCTGGAATGCGCGTGTATTGCATTTAAGCTTGATATATTCATAACTCGAGTACGCGGATATAATGTTTAATTTTATAAATTAAGCCCCCATACGTGAGGAATTTCGGCAGGATATTTTGCGTAGCTTACTTTTCTTGCAACCCGCTTTTGTGTAAGTGTGCTGGCTGTGTAATTTTCATAATACTTTACTCTATATTAAGATAATAACACGCTTCATTTGTATAAAATGTTTCTCTCGCCCCGCTTTAGCCTGCGATCGTACGTTATTATCGGTATAACTTATCATTCAAAAAACGGCCAATAATTTGAGTCAATTTGCCGATTTCAATTAACGTAAGCGCGCGCGCGCTCGGAGCCGTAAGTATTTTTACAAGGACTTGCAGCTTGTGCGATGCTTGTGTATAGCACTCGGCCAAGCCAATTCGTATATATATAATATCGATCGATTTTCCATAAACTTTATTTTTATTGAGAAACTTTTGCAGTTGGCTGAAATATATAATAAAGTGAAATTGTGAAACAGCTGTGAATTTTGTACTTTATTTGGAATATCTCCCTGTATAGCGAGCACGCGACGACGAGATGGAAGCGAAAAATTTATTCGAGCGCATTACATCGTTCACAAAGACAAATGCACGGCTGCGGGCGGAACGAAGAGGAAGAATATAACGCGAAAAAGAGAGGGAGAGAGAGAGTAAAAAAAAGGAGTCCGAAAAATCGCAAAGAAGAGCGAGTAAAAGGTAAGCGAGTACACACATATACGGGAATACCTTTATACTATATATACGCCTGCCTCGCGCTGCGTCGTGTAGAACACAGCTTTTAGCTGTAATTTAACTCTATATATACAAGCGCTCAGAAAGTCCAGACTCAGTCAGCTCTCGCGCACACACACACGAGACTTTGCCCCTGAGTGCGCTATAAAATGAAGGAAGCCAGCTCGAAAAGGTAAGAAGAAAAAAAAGCAACGAGGCAGGCAAGGCATCGCAACGAACGCCCCGGCAGCAGCAGCAGCAGCAACGGAGAAACTCGCGCGCGAGCTGCACACGCGCTTCAACATGCATACGCATATATATCGTGCGTACACACACACACGTATATATCTTCAATAAAATAGTTTTACTGGCGAGCTTGGAATTTCGCGTGCCCATAAAGTCAAAAAGCGACCTTTAAAGCGAATTACGATTACTCGGTCTTATACGGTTATATCCTGACAGCCGATGCGCGCGTATAAAGGCATTGAAAATTCCCGCGCCGTATGTACACGGTGCTGCACACTTGGAGCAAGCGAGCGAGCGAGGAGGTGGAGGAAAAAAAAATTGCGCGCAACCATCACCTACATACGCGTCCGTTTCATAACTTTTTGTTATTTTATTTTTGTTATTTTTCCTTCCTCTCGTCGAGCAAACGACGTCGAGGTCCGAATAAAACGTTGATTGAGCCTGATCGTGTGTGTGTGTGTGTGTGTGTGTATGCAGCCCGCGGAGAAATTTCGTTTGTCTCAGTGCCATATACCTCGCGTTAGCCTAAGTATTATATTACGAGCCCGCAGTGCTTTTATATATACGCGGCACATATATAGTGTATATATCTCGCGCGCGCGGGCAACGTCTTTATTAGCAATCCAAATTAGCGTAATTACATGGAATTTCGTGCGCACGTTTGTGTTATATGCGCGCCTCTGCCTATGCAGCGCGTTTTTTGGGCCCCGGCATATCTTCTCTTCGTCGCTCGAGACTCTCGAGGCTCGCTGATCGCCGCGCGCTCACGCTTTTTAATGCCCCTTTTCTCACCCCCTTCTTCAGCCGTGGACCACACGTAATTTGTCCAAGCTTAAATCTCCTCGGCCGAGAGATATGCTCACGTGCAGCTCGTGTGTGCTCGTCTGTGCAGCTTTTAAAAGCCCTCCTCGACGCCTGGCCCGATCTGTACACACACACACACACAACTTTTAACATTTTTTTTTCTCTCCCCCCCGAAATTCTTGCTCTTCTTTTCTTTTTGCTCTCGTAGATTATGCCGCGTTCCAATCAGGATCTTGAACTTATTTCGAAAATTTTCGTTCCTCGCTCTCGCTCGAATTACCAGTGTGTATTTTTTAAAAAGGGTTGTTAAAACGTATTGCGATATAAGATTGAAAGTAAAATATTTGACTATCAAAGGTATAAGAGGGAGACTTTACTACTTGAGCGTCGAAAGCCAATTTCACCACTTGCTCCGGCTGAATTTCCAAAATGCGTACATTAGTTGGGCAGGTCTCACGCATTTAATCGTCGTTTCGCACCGGCAGCAACTGACACACAACTCTCGAATAGGAAGTCCTTAATAGAGCGATCTTTTTGTTGAACCTATTTTTTTTTCTCTCTATACAAGGCTCGTATACATTATTTTTTTTCTCATTGGTCAATTAATCCCACACCATGCATATACATACAGAGAGAGAGAGAGGTAAGAAGGGAGTACGAGAGAGAGAGAGAGAAACAAAGGGCAAAGGAGTGAGAGGAGTAGCGCGTGAAACTGCGGTCGAGACGAGAAGATTGGCCTGTATACGTTTGTGGTGTCGAAGCTGGGTGGTCCGAAAAACAGGCAGGCAGGCAGGCAGGCAAGCGCGCGAGCCAGCAAGTGTAATTTTGGCGCGTCCGGGAAGGGAAAAATGGCCCCCTCGCACGAAATTGAAGTATCCGTGACGCCATTTTTGCAGCAGCTCCTCATTCTGCACCGATAGCCGACTGTATATAAGCCTCGAGAAAGCCTCAATTTTTTACCGATATCCTCGGACTGATAGATATATCCATGCCCAGACCGTAAATGTGTACGTAACCGGACGTGATGTGGATTTTATCGATTGAATACTCGGCAAACATGGCGAATCTCCCCCCCCCCCCGATTAATTAATTATATTTGCTTCTTATTTTGCTTTCGTCTCGAGGTGCAATACGATTAAACGCAAAGTAGGATATTTTCTCACGATTTTTGCACCTTCTCGGGGTATGCGCGTTCTCTTTAATTTTCCTCAAATCCGTATATTCTAGCATAAATCGGTATGGGTCAGTAATTTTCTAAAATATCACGAGGGTCGGGAGTAAATTTTTATATATTAGCGTGAAACTACGTTAAAAGGCCAAGTAAAGGTTCGTCAGTTCCTCCTCCCTTTTTTTTTTGTTCAAACGTTCGTGGAACGGCGCAATAAGATTGCTCATTTTCAAAGGCGTGGGAGACTTTCAGGGCGGTCGCTGCAAGCTAGTACTGGCCCGAGCTCGCGCTCGCAAGTGTCAAAGACGTCGTTTGACCGGTAAAAGAGAGCGAGAAAGAGCAAAACGGAAATTAAGATGGCTGAATTGTGTATGTGTAGGTGCTGCACACATAGATATAAAAGGGGGTAAGAAGCAATTTATTTTGCGGTTTCGTCGATGTCACCCGTTGACGAGCTCTATAGTCTAGGGGGGCGCCGATCCGCGTAAACAACATTCTCCATCGCGCGCGTAAATACGAATGATCCGAAAATACCTCATTACGGATACGTAATAAGCAATAACGCTAAAGGAGGAGAGGGGGCAGAATTTGAGGAATGCAAAAAAGTGCACGTGATGCGCGTCTCTCGTCCCTTTTTTTCCAGTAAGCCTCGCGTATTCGCATACCGCTCCGCAGTATACGAAGCTGCTCTGACTATATAATTCGCAGTCCTCCATCATAATTCGCTCGGGCTATATACATACACACGTTCTCTCTCTCTCTCTCTTGTGGCGCGATAAGTCGCCGTGTCCGTGTGAGTGCATATAATACGTGCCGGGGCATAGCAGGATTGGCGCATTTCTCAAGTGGCAGGCGGGGATAAGCACATGCAGCACTCGATGCCTGCCACGTACTATAATACACACACACATACACTGCACTGCAGAGAGAAAGAGAGAGAGAGACTTACGGGCTTATTATGTACACACACACACACACACACGTATAAGCTCGAGTGAGCTGTTTTCTTGGCCGCAGCAGCAGCAGCAGCAGCAGAACAGGCCAAACGAAATTCAGATACTCGCGCGTATTATACGCTTATAACATCGCTTAATATAGTATGGTATATTGTATCGAAGCTCGCGCATTATAATCCAAGTCGTAGCTCTCGGATTTTATTGCGCGTTAAGAGAACGATCTCAATTAGGTAGGTGTTGTTGTTGTTGTGTCCCGACGCGCGCGATTCGCGTTTCTCTCTGTATATATTATATTAAATGCTGCTGCTGCTGCCTGCGAATGTATAGTGTCAACTCGTAAACTAGCCATCGGTTAATTTTTCCCCGATTTTTATCATCGGGTTCTCGGGTGCGCGGACTTAAAGATCGGTTAATAAATCCGCCGACTTAATTAGGCGCGGGGAATAACTTGTGCGCTGCGCTGTGCGTGCGTTATCTCGACGCCCGCGGTAGTATTGCGCGCGAGCTACAGCGCGTATATCGTCGCTAAGTGTTTTTAAGCCCCCTCGCGCGCGGGACCCCGGTGCGATAAGCTATTGTATTTACCGCGAACTAGAGCCTATGTACCTGCACGATATTATACATTATTATTGTTATTACGCGGGGCGATTTACAAGTCATGCAATCGCGCACACTTACGTATTATATATTATATTATACACGTGCTTATGCGTGTTCTGCTGCTGCTGCTGCTGCTGCGAGCCCCATGCGCGCGATAGGATAAGCACGACGAGACTATAGCTCGAGCTCAACAATTGCCGTGCATGCGAATTTTGCCCCCGATTTCTGCGTAACGGTAAGCATTAGTTTTCTCTCGAAATTCCACCTGTAATACAGTATAGCAGCAGCACACTGCACTGGTACTTTTAATGACGTTTTATCG